AATTTCAAACGGTTGAATGTGTCAGCTCTACAGGACTATCTACAACAGGTGGATTGGGATGTTCACCCTCAACTCGATGTGGATACTCATTGGGACTTTTTACTGCACACGCTCATATGTGCTACAAATCATTCAGTTCCTCAAACGGTCTCCAAAAGCTACAAGCAACCTACAATCATCAAGAACCGCACTCTTCGCCTGCTAACCCGCAAAAGGCACTGTTGGGCAGAATACAAACGAACTGACAACAGTGGAGAATACAGGCAATACAAATATATAACGAACATATGCACGAAGGCAAGGCCGCTTAGCGTGATATTCTCACACTCGCTAAGCCAAGGCAAACTACCGGAAAATTGGAAGCTGGCTTACATCACACCAACTTTCAAAGGAGGTCGACGCAGCGAATCTTCAAGTTACCGACCGGTGGCTCTTCTCTCTATACCTTCAAAAATCATGGAGTCCCTGATATGCGATGGTATATATGACTATTCACTGACCTTAAGCTTCTCACTCCAACAGCATGGTTTCAGGAAAGGTGTATAACCAACCTGCTGACTGCGGTGGACAGATGGACAAGCATCCTCGATCACAAGAAGAAGGTTGATATCATTTACCTTGATTTCTCAAAAGCTTTTGATATAGTTAACCATATATTTCTTATCAATAAGCTCAAACGATTGGGTATCAGACCATCTCGAATTGATTGGCTCATTTCATATATGAAAAATCGACATTTTAAGATCAGGGTTAACTTAACTTTACCTCAGGCTATGGAATGTCCTAGTGGGGTCGCCAGGGCTCAGTACTGGGATTTGATTTATATAAATGATCTTCCTCAACAGGTATTCTCAGACTCGTTACTTTTTGCCAATGACGTGAAACTTTGGAGAGAGATACGCAACCAAGACGATATACAAGCACTTCAGGAGGATCTGACTCGACTTCAAATTTGGGCAGACGATAACAGACTTACCTTTAACACTTCAAAGTGTAAAGTAGTTCATCTGCGATGTGTCTCAGACTATAGTTACAACTTAGGAAACTCCTCTCTATTAGTATCCCGAGTCGAAAAAGATTTAGGAGGCCTGGTGCCCTACGATTTAGAGTCTTACGCTAATCGTGACAAAAATGTCTTTCGAGCAAACCTTACACTGGTAACATTGAAGCGCATTTATGGCCAGTATGACGGGAGAACTTTCCATATAACCTTCAACGGTTTTATTCGTCCCCATTCAGAGTACGGAAACACAGTATTTCCCCTCTCACTCCAAAAGGATAAGGACACTCTGGAGCGTATCCAACGGCATGCCACGAAGTCAGTTCGGGGACTCAAATTTAAACCTAATGGAGAGCGCCTCCAATCACTTAACCTTTACCTATTAGAGTATAGGCGTCTTAGAGGTGACCTTTTAGTGGCCGACAGTATCCTTAACACTTCTGGACATCCTCTTAAACGCCTAATTAAGCTTGGTCCCAGTACCAACCTAAGGGGTAACAACCAGAAATCGGAGACACAACATAGCAAAACGGACTGCAGACACAACTTCTACTCCTTAAGAGATGTCAAATGCTGGAATTCGCTGCCGGCCGAGCTAGTCCAGGCGACTTCGCAGGAGTTCTTTATGAGGCAACTTGATCTATTCTTAAGGTCTAAGGATAGTATCATACTATGATTTACCAATTTCTTTTTTCTCTTTTATTGTTAACATACCTAGGTTCCTGCCTTGAGGTATTCGTGATCCCCTGCTACTAGACACGGAAGCCCGATAAGCGAAGATCTTCTATTCTGTCCACAATCATTGGGACCATTTGTATGGCTTGCCTGGCCATGCAGGCGTGGTCCCTGCTGAATGTTACCTTATACCTTTTATTTATATTAAATATATTTTTCTATTTCTAGCCTAAGTTTGTTCTCTATCATGCATTGGTAGTTGTTACGAGGCAGTGAGTTGGTGTAAACGATGATGTGACTTCCACGTAAGATCTTATGGATTAGGCAGTTATATCATGACAACCCTACAATTACAGGATAAGGTCTATTATTAGGGCAGTATTAATATCATAGTAGACCATAATTATACAGACGAATTATAAAGCTCATATTATACACTGTAAAACTCGACGTATCTTGTACACCTTTACGCTTATGTGTATAAGCTTTTCCACATGTTACCATATTCATTTTATATTTTACCAGTATTTTGTATAAGCTCACGGACGAGCTTGAACCCAGATACACAGTAAATGGTAATAGACACGTCAGTTTCATTCCAATGATGTATAAGAAGATACCTTCAAACGGTTGTAATTACTCCATTCAGTCTGCTGTTCTTAGTGCAACACAGATATTTCCCACATATCTTTGTTGGAAGTGTGGAGTTATTATGGCAACTATCCTACAACCAATTTCGATTAGGGTTAATTTTGCTTGAGCTTTCTATTAACTTGCTTAACTGACCACGTTATTCGAATAGTAACAATTCGCATATTTCTTTGTACCATTATGATCACTACCATATCTGTGTAAACGTGTACGCTTGATCACATGACAGACTCTAGCGATAATCCCAATAGCTTGAATATCGCTCGATGATCCATTCTCTTCCCCATGTATGCATATACGCGAATGCTATTATTAGGCTCTGTCTCGCATTGCTGTGCTCTGATTCGATTTGACTATAAATTTGCCTCTGTATTCGCTCGCACACACACGTTCGCCTCCCTGCTTCAATTCCGCTCGATGTGCTTATTGCTCTGATATCCGTGCTATCCGCTGATAGTCTTTAGTTGCCGCTTCTCGTTGCCTTACGATTTCAAACATTGTTGGAATGTGTATGATAACGGTTACAAAGGTGATGGATTAACGAGGCAAATCTACCACAGTATGATCACAGATGAACAAACCGGATCACAGTCAACCGAATACTTTCATTTCTCTGGACTTGGTATTCAGTTACCTTGATAATCAACTCTCAATCACTGATGAAGTTTGAATTGTTTATATTTTCTTAGTGTATTGTACGTTGATGTGATCTTAGTAATCAATCGTTGTCCAGTGGTTTCGTTACATTTCTGCCGAGTACTTGCATTCAAACGACCCGTGTTGGTCGTTTGCACTTACTGGCTCATAGACTGAACATATGATGTGACTCGTCTCGTTAGTAGTCGTCTAAATTTCATTGTTGTGCCACATTTTTTACGAGCTAGTATTAAATCTTATCAGTACGTCTTCGCTATTTTCGTACGGTACTTTTATTTATCACTAGTTTTGATGAATGTTATCAAACGGTTACTATCCTGCGTCACTGGTCCTAAAATGAGCTTGTTTGTCGGTGGATTTTTTTATTTGTTTGTAAACTTTTCAACAAACATTTTTATGCTAATATTAACCATTTGGCTATTTGTAATATTTATGAGTATTTGAATTATGTTATGAACTAAGAATCCCAGTGATAGCGTAATCGGATCAAAAAGTGCTAGATAACGACAAACGAATGTACTGTATTCGGAATTCGAAATCAAGCATTCAACAAGTACAAAGGTATCATTAGTTCATTCAAAGACCACACTATTCCTTAGTATCAGTACGTTTACTCTCATCGTATGCAGTACACACTTGTAACCTCCAAATTGATCGCCAACATTGTTGACCTACAAACTCAACACACAGTTTTGTTAGGGTGTAGTGATCTTTCACTAGACCTACTATTGTTCTTAAATCACCACTTCTCAAATGCAGGATCGAATCAACCTTTGAAAACCTGTAAGTCATGACATGAAATTACGTGCATTACTCAATGCATCAGCTGCTACTGGGTTTTACTTGTTTTGTAAACGAAAAGGCATTTTGTAGTGCTTTGAGAATATGCATGGATGAATGATGTAAAAATTTCGTTTACTGACTGAGGTTTACTCCATTTAAACTGAAATGATGTGACCACCTAGCTTATGTTGACGTCACACGGAATTAATATCGAAAGTACATTACCCTTTCGTGATCTCCCAGTCCTGTAGCTATTTTGACGGAAATGTAGAACGAATATGGTCACACTAAAGAAAAGGATTGTAAGAAAACGTCACTGCCGCATGCGCCAGTTCATGGTGTCAATTTAGTTAATTCACGCTAATCATCGTTCACCGTCACGACGTCCAACAAACTGTCCAACTCCAAGTGATCTGTTGTGTAACTTAGGAGAGGTTCAGCTTCATGACTAATTAGGCTGGAGTTCAGTGACATTTCATTGGACCTACGTGTAATTTACATTTTAAACCTCATCTATATGTGACCTGAAGTAGGATTGCCCGGGACCGTCCAATTCGTAGACCAGTTGTCACAAATAGATCATTATTTGAACTAAAGAAAGAGCACTGGCCATACTTGAGGGAATTGTGATGTTAATTCCAATCATATACGAAATGATGTGTAATGAAATTCCTAATTAGCACAAACACTACGCTTGTTCTATAATGATGGATACAGACAGCTACTCGATATCTTAATAAGGATACCAATACAGTCAGACGTATTCATTGCGTAGACCTGAGGTTAATGAAAGATCTTTTTGCAAGAAGCAAATAAGATACCCGAATGATTTCTCTTTATCCGTTCGTAGAACGCAAGATAACCTTATATTCGTGTTGCAGCTGACCAAATATATCGTAACCAAAATAGCGAAATTGTTATCTGTAATAATAGTTCGAGTGTTATCATTAGCCATTGTTTTCTTCTCTCTGAAGCTGATCAACTCCAATGCCATCAGAAGCCCTGATTTAATAATCTCAAAGTGTAATTCTATTTTACGTATTAATTGGTGAAAGACGGAATGTTTCCTGTGAAAAATTGGTCGACAGTTTCAAAAGAACACAGGACCTTCACATTATCACTTGCTGAGGAGAAAAACGCTGGTCAGTCGATCCACTGTCGTAAATACCGAGGATTTCATCAGATCATTTTCCTGTCAAATGTTCAACCTTGAATGGATTCAAGATTGGCCCGCGCATTCAACACATTATTGGGAGGCTCACATCGATCTTGTGTGGATTCACTATGAGGTGTCTCTCAAAACTTCTGGTTCCAATTGGGATTGAAGTTATAAAGATAGTTGTTTATGCTTATGAGTATTTAACATGGCCACTGTACTACTTATTCAGCAAAACATTGAGATATATGCCGCTGCCCAACTCTCCTGTTGACAGCGACTGGACATATAATGAAGAAGAAAGTCGGACTTTGGCACTTCCTGTACGTGAAGGTGATCCCGGTTCGCCATGGAGAGCAGTTGAAGCCCTCGATGGTCTGACGAGTTCACTTCCTGGATGTAAAGATTTGGTTGATGTTTGGCTCCGCACAGTTAAGCTGTGGCCTGATTTGCCTGCGTTTGGAACAAGAGCTGTCCTACGCACGGACTACCGAGTGAGTTTCATACAGGACGTTTTGACCACACTATTTAAGTAACTTCTCCAGATGAAGTAATGAAGCCCATATGAGTGTTGATATACGCAGTGGACAGTTTTTGTTTACATGATTCTTTGGTCGGTTATTCAGTCGAATAAGTAACTGAAAAAAACTTTTCCTTCATTCCTACTGGAATGAGTTTCGAATTGCTGGATGATGGATTATACTAGTAATTTCAGACTACCAACACTAAGAATACCAAGTGTCATCAGAACGGAAGACATAACTGCGTAAACTGGTTCGTTACATTACTATCCACTGAAGTTGGTCCGGAGACAGTATAATCTGTTAATTCTAAGCAACATTTGTAAGGGCCGAAAATAGTTCGGATGGGTTATTGAAGCATGGACACATTCACCGTGTGTCCCCGACGATTTTGAGTTCCAGCATTATTTGATACGTCTTATACTACTATTTCATTCCCTTTAGGACCCTACCATCCATTTTTAGACAACCATCGTTTGTACTATGGCTTACAATTCTTTCCTATCTAAGTTTTACCTTCATTTTGCCATGTTGAAGTTGTGTGTGTGGGGGGGTCAGATTACCAGCCTGCTATGAACGTTACCCGTGAAAGTTTCCAGCGACTTGATCACTCAGAATCAGTCATTCATCAATGCACAGGTCCTCACCAGTCACACCTCGCTAAACTTTGTGTTTGGTGAAATTGAACAGCAAGATCCACATTATTCTCACCGTTCCAAGCTAGTTTTATATTTTTCTGTCTAATTAAATGTTTTTGGAATGTCCCTACATTATTCTCACCGTTCCAAGCTAGTTTTATATTTTTCTGTCTAATTAAACTGTTTTTGGAATGTCCCTACATTATTCTCACCGTTCCAAGCTAGTTTTATATTTTTCTGTCTAATTAAATTGTTTTTGGAATGTCCCCACATATTCAGTGAAATAACAGTTTACATCTGTTGACGAATATCTTGATATGAACCTTCTCAAGTACGTGCTACGAACGTTTGTCTGATTATTCCTTTCATTGGTTTAAAAGCTGGATGTTCTATGTGTACTTCCAGTCATCCATGGTTGTATAAGTGAAATAAAATGCCTGGTACTTGCTAGAATTGTATATTCCATCTAATCGAAAAGTCATGAAGTGATATGGTTGCAAAACTATAATCTCGTTCCCATATTAATGTAAACCAAGCAATTCATATGGTGTTCAGGGAATATGGATTCCTTAAACGCTTCTGTGTCAAGTAATTCTCACTTCTAAGTCTTAGTGTGTTTTCGTTTTTTTGGTGAGTATAGTGGTAAGTAGGTACTTCCCCATAAAAAATGATTCATATACTGTGTTTATTATATATTTTAATTTCGTATGATTTTGTTCTACACTAGCTGAGTCCTGACGGACGACAACTGATTGAGCTCACTTTGGGTGAGTACTCTTGGGAGACATTTTGGGACGCTGAACGTCGAGTATCTCATCTAGCAGCTGGTTTGTATTCAATGTTGGGGTCCGTTAAGGAAAATAATCAGCCCATTGCCCTATTTAGTGAAACAAGAGCTGAGTGGATGTTTGCTGCTCAGGCCTGCTTTCGTCTCAACCGACCTGTTGCTACTTTGTACGCTACTCTCGGTGACGATGCATTGGTACATGGATTTAATGAAACTGAAGTCAGTAAATTGTTACACTTGTCAAATACATTTTTCACTGATTGCATTCATTTTACCTAGTTTATTGGCTCGTCTGACAATGTTTACATATTTCTGAGTTTACTTAATATTTTTATCCACATTCTTAAAGATTAGTCTAAATTTACTATCAGATCCAACTATAGAGTATTCTCTTTGAAATGACGTAAATCAAGTTGTTCAATCCATCATCTAGATTGAGTTTCAGTGGTTGGTGTTGAATCCTGGCTCAGAAAATGTCAGGTGTATCTTTTGAATGTAGCTTTTAGCTATTTGGTAGTTCGATAATGTGTCACTTAGTTAACTATGACACGTTAGTAGTTCAAGGTGCTTTAGGCTAGATATAACCTGGTAATAACCAAGCTTAGTTAATTGTAATATAAACAAGAACTGTTAAAAATCACTTACATTTTCATTTATTAACTTTGGTTCTTAACGTCAGGTTCTCGAGAATATATTCGGTGGGTTACGGTGAAAGTAACCAGTAAATATGACCAACCAAAGCTGTGGTTAGGAAAAACCGGTTAAATAATTGTTAATAGCTGGTGGTGGCAATCGACACAGTTTGATTGTAATAGCTAACAAATCTAAGGTGTTCTTATTAGTTGAATGTTGACTACTCAGCTACTGTTTTACGGTCCATGTAATTATCAAGGGAGGGGGAGTTGGATGTCTTGGTAATATAACTACAAAATTCTTAATCAGTACGTTCATCCCTGTAAATGTTGTTTTGTCTCTAATATATTTTACATATTCAACGCTCCATTATGGAGTTATTTCTTCAGTACACTTATCTTGATCTTCGAACTATATATATGTAGTTTAATGTAGCACATTTTCCGATGCATCATTGTTCCAAGTGTTTCGTCAACCTATATGTCCGAAACATTTGTTGATTACGACGAGAAGTAACAAATGGAGTTCCAAATGATCCAAAGGAGTAACATGGTACAAAAGGTCTTTCGTCACAGTTACTATGTGACATAAAACATACTAAGGTTACGTGAGAATGTTCGTTAGCAATTTAAGCTCTTTGGTGCTGTCTTAATCCGACCTATTGGTTACTTTCTCACTTACTCATAGCTTGGTGAACTGCAAGTAGTCTCTGTTCTAATTTAGTTTCACTCACAATATAAATTGATGTATCCTCTTTCCACGTGACAATAGTTGAATGGTCAAGTTTGGAGGCAACACATGATGGAAGTACGGTAAATAGGAGAATCGTTATTTACGGGATTCAGCGAGTGGGTTGTTGGTTTGGAACCCACTATACTTCAGCCTTACAACCTAACAGTGTCACTAACGTTCACATTGTCAGTGTGAAGTACTTTAACTTATCTGTACTTCATAAATAAGTAACCTAATTGTATCAGCTCTCTGAGCAGGCTAAGAGAGTGTAGCTGGAACCATCGTTTAATGCCTTACATTAGCTGGAATCGTCTGACAACTATAATATTTCAGCTCAGTTATTCAGTGATTATCATTGCGTTCTTACCTAATAACTTGACGATCGTTTTTATTGCTTGTTAGTGATTCTAATCAACCATCATTTATTTTTGCTTGTAACTTCAGTTTTTTTAAACATGTTTTTGCATATTCAATAAGAAACTTTATGTGTGGACTTTATTTTAATCTCAGGCTGTGGTCGTGTTCACAAGCGATGAGCTCTTATCAAAAGTAATTAAAATTGTTCAACGATGTCCTTCAATTCAACGTATTATCTACTTCACAAATGGAGTTTTTAATCGAGAACTTTATACAGAAGTTGACAACCTCGCTGTTCCTTCTGAAAGTGCTACCGCTAGTGTTGCAGAAGCTCTGACAAAATGTCCGTCAAATTTACATCTACACAATATAGTCGAAGTCGAACGTTTGGGAGCTGCAGTAATCATGAAAGATAGAGAAAGGCGAAAAATGGGTGGTTCCACACCAATTACAGGGAATAATAATCACTCATCAAACGGTTATGAGGGTTTATGGATGCCTCCTGCATCAGAACGTGCCAGTCCCTCGGATTTAGCTGTGATTATGTACACAAGTGGATCAACAGGTATAATTTGTACACTGTTTCTTGGCGATTTCAGTGTTTTCACTTATCCATCGATTTTAATGAACTATTATAATTTTCTTTATAGCTTATTTGTACCTATCGAATTCTTCAGTTTATTATTTTTTGACTATGCATATAAATATATGGACCTTGGAAATGTACGAACAAGCTGTTTACCTGTATTCCAAAAGTTGAATTGTACGTAGAAAAGTGATTTATTCCCTGTACCTGAAAAGTATTAGTGACAAATGTTACTCTGATATTAATCCTGAAAGTTGCATATATAAGAACCAATTATCTTATTATGTTCTGTGCATTTATCATGTATATCATGACATTTTATACAACAAGCTTAGGTAATTACTTTGTTTAGAAGACTATATTTCAGTATTTTGAACAATTAAATCTCTATCACCCGAATCATTTATTAGACACATTCCCACATATTTAAACGTTATTCAACTATGTGGATCGGAAGTTTTGATTAATATATACCCAATCGCTCTTTAATATTTGAAGACCCCCGACCAGCCTTTGTTACATAAAATGTGTAGTTTCGAGTTTAGCTAAGACTTTTACTTGGCAGCAAGCCAAGCGTCTTAGACTGGTAGTATATATCAAGCAACCTATCATCACAATAATGCTTATTTCTCTGTTTACGTAATTTCTTGAATTTCCTTATTCACCGTATCGTTCATGTGTTACTACCTAAAGTAGTCTCTACGTCGTCTGTTTCTTGTAAATTACTATACTACTCGTCTGTCAACATAAAACGAAACTATTTCTTTCATGGTACTAACTTTTCAACACATTTATTTTTTTACATTTCTGCTCTCAATGGCACTATTAGTTAATTGGTGACAAAACTTCTGAAATAACTGTGAATGTGTGACCGAAGTTGTATTTTATGTATTTATTTATGATATAACCACCTAAAAAGTTTCGTGCTACCTTTTTGAAACATAACAAGAACTATAGTAGGCTTGTCACTGCCCTGTATTCTGACCGAAGTTGGATAATGTTTCAAGCTAATTAGTCGCTTAGTCTCCAGAACCGCACCCACGAGGTTGTGACAGCCCAACATATTTTAGTTCTATATAGGCTCTTTGTACCCACTAGACCAGTTGAAAAATTGAACACTCCTTGGTTCTTTTTCTGATTCTATCCTACCTATTTTTGTAATCTACACTGTGATATAATTTGTTACTTGTCAGATAACTGACAAAAATAGCAAACAGTCCAATTAATTTACCACTCCTTATTTTTCGGATATTACTCCCTATTCTTGCATCATTTCCTCGTTTTGAATGAACAAAACCTATTATAGTAAGATTATTACTGTTCATCAATTCAAGTTTGTATAAACACTAGTAAAAGTGAAGTATAGAAATTAGTTTCACAGTTTTATCAGCAATGAATTTATTGATTTCATTTTGTTTAAGCGAATAAGCGATCAATCGTTAATACAACAATGAAAAATGTTACCAATATTCGTATTGTTAAGTATGTATATATGATTGATTTAGCGTAAGTAGTAAACTTTCTCTTATTTCCCACAATGAGGAGAATGCAAAATCTTGAGTATAGTTGTGCTACATACTGGATTACTATAGTAAAATTAAACCTCCGATTTATGTCTTTTAGGATCAGATGTTAGGACGTTAAGTAAACTTATTCATGAATCAAGTGATCATGCTTGTTCAATAAGTTATTATCTAAGTCTAATGAAAGCCATACTAAAAGATAATTCATTTTTCGTGGGCATGTTTTTTTAGATTGTGTGTGTTCATCTCAATATGTGACTCATTGAACGTATTTTATTTCGCTGTGCAAGTATATTCATTTGTTTGTGGCTGTACTGTAGTTGTTTTTGATCGACTTAGAGTTTTTAGTGAACTTATCATAATCGATTTCATCAGAAAGGGGGTTTTGTGGAGATTGTGGTAATTTAATATTTGAATTCATGAGTCTAGACCACTACGGAAAACCTAGAAACTTCAAGAGGTATTTCTTGGAGTTCTAGTGAGAAGCCGTGACCAGTGGAGTTCAACTGTGTCTGTTGTGAGGCAGTAACTCACTGAAGATAATAGTGGACGGTGGCTCAATTTCGTGGATCGGTTAATGTTAGACATTAACACCATTGGTTGCCGGAACAGTGGTCTAGGGATTGGGCGTTCGCACACGAGACCGAAGGCCCTGGGTTCAAATTCCACGAGCGGGATCGTGGATTTACTGCACTGCTGAGGAGTTCCATATTAGGATCAAATGGCCGTTCAGTGATTCTGAGTTTTCCATGATGATCTAGCTTCAATCGACTCATGAATTCAACTATAATCGATATCATCAAGTGATGTTTGTTAGGATTGTCCGCTTTCCTCATTTTCGTTTAATTTATTCGTATATATTCCTTTGGAGATAAAGTTTTCTTCTAATCTTTCACAAGTTGATGTGTCAGGCGATCCACCTTCGAAGTTAAAATACGCAGATGATAAAAATACCAGTGGAATTTAGTCTTCTAATCGCCTTGAGCGGCAACACTTACGCGTTTAAGATATGATTCTCCCCATCTAAATGCAAAATATTGCTTCAGGACTGGTATGCGTCAACGCTTAGACTAATAATAAAAGTGATGTAATTAGGCGTGTCGACCATTTGAAAGACTTATTAGCCTTGGTAGGTTTCTGAATAATGAAATGTTGGTTATCTTTTGCGTCACTTGCGGCTTAGGCAAGTGGTCCGTCTACCAACCAAAGGGCATCTATACTGCACAAAAGTCCGTTCTGTTATACTTTATTTTTGTGAAATGTGACTTCTAGATACGGAGATATGTATGTTACTGGTTTTCGATCATAAATCCCCTCGAATTATTCAGTCAGTCACATTGTAGAACGTTGTACGTTCGTACATCAGTTCTGGTTGCCACACCACATTAGCACAGAGATACAGTGGTCGATTCAAATCCCGTAGCGCTAGATGTAGTAAAATTATAAGCTATAATCAGAAAAATTAGGGTTTGAAGATGTTATTCAAGGAGTATAATCCAGTGAAATAAATTTGGAAGAAAAAATAAGGGGCATGAAGAATTCAGAAGATTAGAATCTGGGAGAACACAAAGAGTGGATGCACCTGCACCATTGCAAACGGTTTTGAGCCATGTCATTCAATGTTTCTAACTATCGGTTGCTATCGTTTCGCGGGTCCCAACCAAGTAGTCTACACCTACCAACATGGCTCAGTCCACTTGTCAATGACTTCGTGGATTTGTGCCGTGTTTTGGTCTGGCCGCCCCTAGCTCTCTTCCGACCTACTCCTACACCACAAAACATCGCACATCGAGGTAGTCGGTGGTTGGGCGTACGTAACACGTGTCCCAGCCATCTCGACTGATGGAGTTCGATTACGTCATCAATTGATTTGCCATCCCTACCTAGTGCCTGTTTTCTAACAACTGCATTACTTGCTCGATGGTCCAAGGATATACGAGCAATCCTTCGAAGACACCTATGATCGAATACTAGTAACCTGCGAATTATTGCTCGTGTATGTTGGGATCACCGAGTGTAGAATGTTCAAATTAAGCTTATGTTATGTTAAGATGGAAAATCAGCTGATTATGCAGTCCATTTTCGTCAACTGGCATAGTTAGTCAGCTACAACGTAGGACCAGGCACATTTGTGCATCGGTCCAAGTTGCCATTACCTCATTAACACAACAAGATGGACACCGGATTCATAAAAGTAGTTAATTCAGAGGTGGTAATATATAAAAGAAAGATTGCAATAAGGATATAGTACAGGAAAAAAGAATTAGTTCGTAGAAAGAAAGATATGAAGCGATTTTAATCTCTTAGTTTAAGGGAAGACAGAGATTGTGTACACCGCCATTGTGGTCGACTCTGAGCCATGTCACCAAGAGTCTCCAACCATTGGTTACGACAGTCACGCGGACCCCAACCAAGTAGTCTGCATCTCCCAACACGGATCAGACTAGAAGTTAGTGACTTCAAGCACTGATGCCACGTTTTGGTTTGGCCGCCACTAACTTTCTTCCAACCATCCCGAACACCGGTTAGCATTGCACGTCGTGGTAATCGGTGTTCGCGCATACGTAACACGTGGCCCAACCATCTCAGTCGATAAAGATTCACAACCTCATCGACTGATTTACCATCCTTCCCTAATACCCTGCGTCTAACCTCACTATTACTTATCCGGTGATCCCAGCAGACGCCAGCAATATTTCTGAGGCATCTGTGGTCAAATACTGGCATAAGATATTACGCATCCCCAACCACCATTACGCCGATAGGTGATGTTGGGCGGCATGGGAGTAGGTGGAGTAAAAGGTATGAGTGACCAAACCAATGCGTAACATCAGTCCTTAAAATCATTGACTGGGGACCAGCCATGTAGGTAGGTTCAGACTGCTCTAACCCTAGCACGTTCACACCATTCTCGCAACTAGTGTTTGGGAACGTCGGTTGATACGGCTCAGGATTATTCTCACGGACCCAGACGTATTCACTCATTTTCTACCACTAGATCCTGAGTCCAAGTCTTTATTTTTCTATACTTGACTTTTACTACTAATACTACTACTGTTATTGTTACTACTTTGCTATTTGCCTTGATAGTTTCATATCGCTGTGTTAATACGGTGTGGAAACTTGAGCCTAGGTTGTACGTTACATATGACTGACTGTCTAGTATATATCCATGCTTTTTTTCACCCTTAACGGCTCTATCTATAGTCTGCTTGTTTTTTTAATACACCAATTTACTTAAAATATTTGTATGCAAAAGTTGTGTACCGGTTATCTGTTGGATCTAAAAAATCTTTTGGCGGTTACCCTGTATCAATATTTGGCAGTAATTCATTTAGTATCAGTTGTTTGACATAGTTAGGATCAATAAAAGACATCGGATTTTTCTACATATAAATATAGAACTGAACAAACGGTGCAACTGACAAGATTTACTATTCATCATGGAGTTTATCAGATCAATCGTGTTGTTAATTACTGTCTTCTTGTTTTTCCTTTCTTTGATCCTGTCCAGTGTTTCTATAGAAATCCATTCCTTATGATGGTGTTTCTTGAGGCCCAAAACCTCTTGATACGTTGAAGTTAATGCTTCCTTGATGCTTTTCCAGTTGTCCTCCATAGTAGTTTCTTCTTCCTTCAGTAGATCGTGTAAGGCTTGGAACCTGTTGCTGAGAGCTATCTTGAATTCATTGAGTTTGTCAGTATCTTGAAGGAAGTCTGTATTGAACCTTTGTAGTGCTGTTTGTCCAGTTGTCCAGTTCTTCTTTAGCTTCAGATCTAAATTGGCCACAACTAGGTGGTGATCTGAAGCTATATCAGCTCCTCTCCTGGTTCTCACATCTTCTATTGTCCTTCGGAACATTTTATTGATGCAAATATGATCTATCTGGTTCTCTGTGGTGTGATCCGGTGAGATCCATGTAGCTTTGTATACACGTTTGTGTGGAAATATTGTGCCGCCTATGACCAATTTGTAGAATGCACACAAATTTGCAAATCTTTCCCCATCTTCGTTTCTCTCTCCCAGTCAGTCCATTTCGTCCCATCATATCTCCATATCCGGTGTTGTCTATTCCGACTTTGGCGTTTAGATCTCCCATCAGAATGGTGAGGTCGTTTCTTGGGCACTTCTCTATGGTTGATCGCAGCCTCTCGTAGAATTGATCTTTAATATCGTCGTTGCTATCATTGGTGGGTGCATAACATTGGATAATATTCATTGTGGTCCCCTCCTTCTTTGTTTTGAATGATGCCTTGATGATTCTGGATCCGTGAAATTCCCATCTTACAAGTACATTTCGTGCTACTTTGCACAGCATTAGAGCAACTCCCTGAGTGTATGGAACATTTTCCTCTTCGTGATCGGAGTATAGCAGCATCTCTCCCGTATTGAGCCTTTGTTGTCCAGCTTGGGTCCAATGGGTTTCGCTGATTCCCTGTACTGCCAAGTTGTATCTCCTCATTTCCGTTGCTATTTGACTGGTCTTCCCGGCCTCCCACATTGTTCGAACGTTCCATGTACCTATAAAGGTTGTTGCTCTGGTTGTTAGAAGGGGCATCGGCCTCGTGGCTTCCGAAGGAACTCGGTTTTCACCATGAGGCGTCACAGTTCTTCACGCGGGCTTGGAACCGGCAGTAACTCTAGAAGAGCTGCAGGCGGAGTTAAATTTTACTTCATACAAACTAACAATTGTTTACTCTACGCATTAGTTTATAAACGAACAGCATATATACTAGATGTGAACATGTATTTTGTGCATTGGGTGTGGTCGTCATAACTACATTATTGTTCATCTAAAATTTATTGTTGAAATAATACATATACAGATTAGTCACGATTGTATACATGATTCACTGTTATATTAGTATACTAGAGTAAAGCCTGATGAGGATCTAATCGAAAACAATATTGTTCGTTTATATATATTGTTCTATATTAGTTAGCTTCGACAATTATATCTAACAAAGATTGGAAATTCTCTTATATTTTTCAGTTCGGGAAATGTTGTTGACATTAAAACAACCAAAAATAACAATTTTATATTTCAACTGAGTTACTCTTAACTTTCATTGCAATTTTTATTCTGATTAATTAGTCAAAATATTTTTTAAGTTATTTATGGAATTTATATTTTCGTTAATTCCTAAAGCATATTACGAACTTTTCAGTGTTGTATCGTTTTCATTAGTTTTATGGTCACAAAATGGTTTAGTGCATTTTTGGCGATAGCTATATAAAAATGACTAAATCTAATTTCTGGTAGTTTATTACTATACATTTTCTAACTCCACTTCAGGCAACCCAGTTTTGCCACTAGCAACTCATGTGAAAGTTTGAACCGAACAAATAGAACAGTATTTGATTATAAAGTTACGTTAATACTGTTACTAATTAGTTTGGTCATAAGTGGCTAGTATTTTCTTTTTCTTCACCTATTCTTATTGAGTTGGAACACAAAAAAGCTTGGTACATTGATGTACCAAAATCACCTACCTTACATTGATTTCCTTTATTTGAAATAAACGAACAACTTTCAACCACCTTAATCTCAACTTATTTGATAGTTTGTTATTGTTGCTTTTGTAAGTTTTGACTCGGTTAAACACATGTTCCTTGGACTAAATGGGTAGTTTGTTCTAACGTATCAGCTTGATAATAAAAATATATTTAATTCAAATTTCAAGTTGTGTTCTTTTTTATGTTGTATAGGTCAACCTAAAGGCGTTGAAATGACCCATGAAAATTTAGTAAGTGCCATAGCTGGTCATCTACAACGTTTACCGAAACTTCGTAGTAATTACGACATATATGTCGGATATCTACCACTAGCTCATGTTTTAGAGCTTACCTGTGAATTATCCTGTGTCATTATGGGTGTACGAGTAAGTTTCATGACAACTTTCTTCATACTTTTTTTGTTACAATATTCTTGTTTAAAATAGTCAGTTTAAATTACAGTAAAGAGAAACAATTTTACTTGCTTACGCCTGTTGCCTCTCGTAGAGGAGCAAAGGCCACCTATCAGCGTTCTCCATCGAACTCTGTCATGGGCAATCCTTTTCAGTTGCTATTCATCCTTTTCATGTCTGTTTCTAATTCCCGATGTAGTGTGTTCTTCGACCTTCCTTTTTCCGTTTCCTTTTAGGATTCCAAGTTAGTGCTTGCCTCGTGATGTATTTTGTTGGTTTCCGTAATGTATGTCCTGTTCATATCCAACGCCTTTTCCTAATTTCCTCTTCAAATAGAAGCCGATTCTTTTCTCTCCTATAGTAGGCCGTTGCTAATGGTATCCGATCAACGGACATTGAGTATCTTGTGTGGACAATTGTTTATAAGTGCCTGTACCTTTTTGATTATGGTTGTAGTAGTTCTCTAAGTTTCAGCTCTGCTCAGTAGAACTGTCTTGACGTTCGTATTTAAGATTCTGACTTTGGTGTTGGTTGACAGTTGTTTTGAGTTCTATATGTCCTTCAACGGTAGGAATACCGCCCTTGCTTTAGCAATCCTTGCCCTCACATCTGCATCGAATCCTCCATGTTCATCAATAGTGCTGTCCAGGTTTGTGAAGGTTTCCACCTCTCACAGTGCTTCTCCATCAAATGTGATTGGGTTGGTATTCTCCGTGTTGTATTTGAGGATCTTGCTGTTTCCTTTGTATATGTTGAGGCCTACCGATGCTGATGCGGCATCTGTTGCTACATTGGTTTTCACATGCATTTGTTGGGATAGAAGGACCAGGTCATCTGAAAAGTTCAAATCGTCTAGTTGTGCGTCCAAGCTGTCCATTGTGTCCGGTGCATCCCCTGAGATATGGACTTCATAATTCAGTCAACCATCAAAAGAAAGAGAAAGAGCAAGTGTAAACAGCCTTGTCTGACTTCGATTCTCCCTTGAAATGCATCTATCAGCTGTCCTCCATGCACCACTTTGCAGTGTAGTCCATCATATGAATTCCGTATGATGTTGACGATTGAATTGATTGCCCAACAATGATCCATATTGTCGTGATTCGGTCTGTACACGACCAATCCTTACAGAATCCAGCCTGTTGATCTCGAAACTGGTCGTTCAGTGAATCTTTCATTCGGTTCGGCAACACTGTTGGAAACTTTTCGTGGCACTTGTTCTTTCCCCAAATCTTCATGAATATAGTGTGGAGCATGTTTGCAGTTACTCCTATGCCTGACTTCGGTGCTACAGGTGGTATGTTGCTTTCCCACTCTTGATTTGTCTGATGCCCATGGTGATTTCTTCCATCATTCGCAAAGTGACAGCTATAGAAAGGACTGTGTGTGCTGTTTCTATGTCCGGTAGGTTTAGTGGAGATGGTCTATCCAAGAGTTCTTCAAAGTGCTCTACTTAACTGTTCCGCTGTTCGTGAATTTCAGTGACTGGCTTGCTTTATCTATCCTTGACTTATCGCTCTGGTTCACTGTATTTTCTTGCTAATTTCTTCGTTGTTTCATATAGTTGTTCCATATTTCCTTCTCTTGCAGCTTCTTCCACTCCCGCTGTTAAGTCTTCTACGTGTTTCTGCTTGTTAGATCTAATGCTCTTCTTTACTTGCTTGTTCGCTTCTGTATATTCGGCCTGTGCCTTAACTTTCTCTGTTCTTGTCCGACTGTTGTTAACTGCTTTTTTTGAATCCTGCCCATGTTTTCGATAGAGATCCATGCCTCCTGCGGTCCAGCACTTCCCGACATGCTGAAGTTAATGCTTCTTTGATCCCTTCCCAATTGTCCTCCATAGTAGTTTCCTCTTCTCTGAGTAGATCTTGTAAGGCTTGAAAGCTATCTTGAATTCGCTGATTTTATCAGTATCTCGAAGAAAGACTGCACTAAACCCTTATAATGCTGTTTCTCCAGTTGTTCATTGCTTCTTTAGCTTCAGTTTCATCTTGGAAACCACCAGGTTGTGATCTGAAGCTATGTCAGCTCCTCTCCCTGTTCTCACGTCTTCCATTGACCTTCTAAATTTTTTAGTGATGCAAATATGATATATCTGGTTCTGCGTAGTGTGATTCGGTGAAACCCATGTAACTAGTGTATGCGTTTGTGGGGAATATTGTACCACCTATAACTATTTTGTTGAATGCACATAGATTTGCAAATCCGTCACTATCCTTGTTTCTTTCTCCCAGTTCATGTCGTACCATGCTATCTTCATACTCGGTGTTGTCCATTCCGACTTCGGCATTTAGGTCTCCGATCAGGATGGTCAAATTCTTTCCTGGACACTTCTCTATGATCGATTGCGATCTCGTAAAACTAATCTTTATCGTCGTCGTTGCTATCACTGGTAGGTGCATATCACTGGATAACATCCATTGTGATCCCCTTGTTCTTTGTATTCTTTGATGATTCTTGATCCATGAGATTCGCATTCTATAAGTGTATGTCGTGCTTCTTTGGACAACATCAGGGCAACTCCCTGAGTGTGTGGAGCATTTTCTTCTTCGTGGCCAAAGTACAACAGTATCTCCCGAATCTAACCGTTTCTCTCCAGCTTGAATTCAATGCGTTCCACTGATTCCGAGCACTGCCAATTTGTATCTCATTTCCGTGGTTATTTGATTAGTCCTTCTGGTCTCATACATTGCCTGGACATTCCATGTACCCTCATTAATTGTTACTCTGGTTGTTAGAAGGGGTATATCGTCCTCGTGAATTCTGAATAATATCGGCTTTCACTAGGAATCGTCATGATTCTCCTAGATGAAGATCCTCCAACTCCCAGGGCAAAGTTTAAATGGTATAAAGGATTTTTTCTGGTTAGCGTTTCTTAACAAGGTTGTTTTGTACGGTAAGTGGTTGTTGAGCCCATACCCAACCCCCCCTTTATCCGGGATTAAAATCGACAATAACCGTAGAAGTGCTACAGGCGGAGTGATATGAATTTCTTTTATTTCATGAATTCTTTCCAGTTGCTTACAATTTAGAAACTAGTTTTAATTATTAAAATCAAAATAAGTCTTGGTTAATGTTAATATTGATATAGATGTAGAATAGTATTCAAAAGACAATTATTATAAAAGGATTAAATGGTTTGTATACAGTTGTTGACTGGAAAAAAGAGTTCAGGACATAGTTGGCTGGAGAATCCTGGCCTATGCTCCACAAGGGGTAATAGGCGTAAGTAAGTATAAGATGAATATACGGATATCTTAGCAGAGTTAACTGAGAAAAGCATGAAAACAGGATTCTAGTAATAGAAGATCAATTTCAGAGGTTATATGATACTAAATGCCACGGAGTTAACTGAGTCAAGTTTAGCTTAGGAAACGAAAAGAAAAGGAAAAGAATTAAGGGTGTGAGAAAATCAGTGTCACGTAGCCAATTCTTAAAACTATGGTCATCAAGGCAAAGAACAATCGACAACGTTGTTCTTCTAAGCTCAAATTTGGTTTAAATCTTTGTATATTAACGGCTTTGCTAAAGCATAAACTTCAGATAAAAGTTTATACTTTATGTCTTATAATACAGATGTCAATCAGTCAGTCACAACATGGAACCTAGTACATATGTACATCGGTTCAAGGTGCCATACTCCATTAGCACAAAGCAACGAAGTTCTCAGGCCAAACCCTAGAATAGTAGAGGTAGTAACTATCAGTGGTAATAGAAGAGATTAGATACGATCCAAGGAGAAAACATAAATTAGTGAAATTAAGACCAAAAAATTTGTGAGGAATTCAGGAGCTACCTATGCCTTTTTACATGGCTAAGAAAATTGTCAGTGGTTCCATAGACTGATACCATGTTTTTAGTTTGGCCGCCCCTATCTTTCTTCCAGCCTACTTCACCAGAAAAAACCACCCATCGAGGTAGGGGGTGGTTGGACATACGTAACGCATGTCCCAACCACCTCATTTGATGATTTACTAACTCGTCAATCGATTTCTTGTTCTTACCCAGTATCCTACTCATAATCCTGGCATTACTTACTCCGTGGTCCCAAAATGCATGAGCGATGCTTTGTAGACATTTAATCAAATACCAGTAACGTACAGATATCTTCTACTCTCGATGACCATGCTTCACATCCATCCTTTGTGCAGTAAACTCGTTCTTTAGTTGGAAGACATCATGATTTTGTCGTTATGTACAGTCAAAGTGAACTTGATGCACATCTATATATGATTGCTAAGCTTTATTATATTGTCATAAATTTTTCACAGATTGGTTACTCGAATCCACAGACATTAACAGACACTTCATCCCGTATTAAACGAGATCACTGCTTGGGTGATGTCAGTCTTCTTCGACCAACTCTTTTTGCCAGTGTGCCTACTGTATTAGAACGTATTTCTAAGGCTGTTTGGGAAAAAGTAAACGCTGGCGGTGAATTTCTTCAAGCTGTAAGTTTACATCAAAATGTTTCTAATTGATGTACTCTACGTTAAAGATTCTGGTTTCATTATTAAGTCTTTCTAGCGTCACCATCGTTAATAAGTAATGTAATAAGCTTTCGTTTATTGTTTCATTTATTATAGATAAAAAGTACTGATATTCATCTCTGTGGTAAACAGTAGTTAACTTATTGTATTGATTGATCTTTATGAAATTCCTTACATATTACGGGTTGGAAGTGTATACCACGATCAACCTCACAGTTATCCGGTTATTGGTATTCTGAAAAAGCACTGAGTATCTTCTTGTTAGGGCTTGACAAGAGGTATTTTTATTTATCAGTAAGCTCATTCTTTATTCAAGAATTTAATTTACATCTTTCAATACTGAAATTAAAAACACTAATCTCAAACTTTTTGAACGGCGACTGGTAGTTTTGTAGCATCATGTGCATTTGTTCACTTTAGTTGTTAACCTTCGTGATCTAGTTCTCAATATTTTTAAACTTTATGAAATAACGTTGTTGAGTGTAGTCGATTTCTTACTGGGTAATGTCCTTTCTTCCACAATGTCTAAAACAGAGTATGATGCACTGTGATGACGTATCATATGGCGAATCTTTTTCCACGGAATTCAAAAGTACCATGGTCTAGAATTTGTTAATCATTTAAATGTCCAAATAATAAGCTTTTCCTCCAAAGATGTCGTTTTGCTGTGAACGAGAAAACAGGTGGGGATAACCAGTTGTATTTGAATATCAAATCTCTTGATAAAATATAAGAACCATACATCGAGTACTTCATTTGCAAAATTCCATCATTTGTCCTTCAAATTATATATGATTCTTCTAAGTCACAATTACTTTCTATTTCCCTTTCTGTACTCTTCAACTTGATCTTCTCAGCCTCCTGTTGCCTGGTTTTCCACTTCTAATTAGTGCTACATACTGTTTATGTCTGTCGACATAAGTAGCATGCACCACAGTTTGAATAACGTAACATAAAATTGCATATAATATTTAATTTGGGTAGCACTATTCGAAGCACCAGTACCATTATCATCAGATCATATATAAACATGGTTCGTACAAATATATGCACATTGATCGCTCCCGTCACAATCACTTATCGTCCCAATATATAAGAGAGGGTTAAAATCATCCTGTGACAACCATAGAGGGATTAATTTAACTAATATAGTATCTAAAATACTAGCCTCGATAATTATCAGACGCCTAACTAAGACTCGTGAACTGCAAACACGAGAGAATCAAGCTGGCTTCAGACCTGGTCGTAGCTGCATCGACCACATATTCACCATTCGTCAGGTTCTAGAACACAAACATACTTATCGGCGTCCAAGAATGGCGGTCTTTCTTGACTTAAAAGCAGCATTTGACTCCGTAGGCCGCGAGATTCTGTGGCATTGTCTGTCATTGAAAGGCGTACCTCAGAAGTACATAAACCTTGTGGAGACTCTTTATTCGAACACTACTAGTCGAGTCAGAGCTTATGGCGAACTGTCATCTGCTTTTGCAACCTAACCTCAAGTGGTGTCCGTCAAGGCTGTCCACTTTCTCCATTTTTGTTTAACTTCATCATAGACCTACTGGTGGAAATAACATTTTCGTCTACTGAATTCTCGGGTATTGATCTCCTTCCAGGAAGTCCACTTATCGACTTAGAATACGCAGATGACTGTACTATATCCTTATACGCAATCTTTCCTATATTACCACCTCTGAATTAACTATTTTTATGGATACGGTGTCCATCTTGTTGTGTTAATGAGGTATGGCAACTTGGACCGATGCATATATGTGTCTGGTCCTACGTTGTAACTGACTGACTAATCGCTCACTGACACATAGCTACTTACTTTTTGGTGCCGTTAAATTCTGTCTAACAAGTGTACAATGTGACCAGTATTATTAGCAACTGAATATCGCGATGCTCTGCATTTGATTTATAATTTTTAGAGGTATTCTATCGAAAAACATGAATACGCGTTGCTGTAATCGACCGGTAACACACAATTTATGTTGAACTATCGCGGTGATTTTCGGATTATTGTTAACGCTCAGTTAAATTCAGAAAATTATGTGCTTATAAGTTAAGTCAATCGACCTCTAAGCATTGGATCTCAGTTTGAAACCTTACTGCTAGCATCCATTTTGGCTTGGCTGCATGGGTAGTGTCATACAGATCATGCATTATCGGTTTACGTCAAACCTGATTAATAAATGAGTCATGTGTGGATGAGTTATCATCCATTTTAAGATTTCTGCTACAGACATTACTTTCATTTGTGAAACCACCTTATATATCTTATGTCAATATAATGTTTACTGTCAATTGTGTGGCAAATTGTGGAATGTTTTCGTTTACCTCAAGAATCTAAACAGTTAACTGGTTTGTGTCTGACTAGAATAAATAACTAAGCACATATTATTAATAGAAAAGGTCATCATAAACAGTGATTTTTACTACATTGAATCACTTCTCAAAATTTGATTTTATTAAAATCTAAATAGAAACTTTATATTAAGATTCTTGTATTTTATAGTTCACATTAATAAATTGATTAACTGTAAATAACGTTGATAACCCGGTTGTTGTGAAATGTTGACAGCTTTACTGTTTAACGAATAAAAATTAGAGGTAGTAATTTAGCATAAGGTCATGTTTACTTTATAGTAAATAAAACACTGTTATTATCATTAACTATACACGTGTGTCATCGTGGCTGATTTTGTATTGAAGTTTATCTACATCATTTTGTGTCCACCAGTCTTATCTACAATTAATCTGCATGCATTAATAACTATTGATTGACTTAATCAATTGTATTAAATTATACCCGTTTTAAACATGTTACCAAGTTGACTCATTATTTTTCTCTTTTTTTTTAATTGTTACATAATCGCAATTAATATGTTCAATCTTATATTTATAACCAAAGATTATGGTGAATAATTATTGACATATTAGCTCATATTGTCTTTGTTGTAGCATTTTGTTTTAAAAAAAATTGGTTATCTTATTGATAGAAATATCAAATCATATCAACTTTTATGAATTATTTTTAATGGTGGTCATGTAGTAATAATGAGAATATTGTAATATGAAATGCTAATTGAAAAATGAGCAATAATATAATTTTGTACCTGTGTGTATTTGCAATTGTCTGGATAAAAAACTTGACGTAAATCTTTGTAAAACATCGTAATTTTATGACACTTATTTTTCAGTTCAATCTATATCTATACCAAGCTAGCCCTATTTTGATATGATGTAAACTGGAATGGCTAACGGTTGACTGTAAAAGATTTCTATAAAAAAAGCTGGACTGAAAATTTTTGAATTTTTTAAACATGCAAGATATGAAAAATTACTTTAAAAATCATGCTAAATCATTTTGACAATCTTAAAAATATGTATAACAATGAATTGAAAATAGCTTATATAAATTATCATTTCTGTTCATTCGAATTCATTCTCAGCTTAGCAAGCCTAAAAGCTTTAAAAAATATAGAAAACTAGCAAAGGTTTTATCGAATGGTTTTTAATGACTTTTGATGCTAGCTACTGCATAATGAATCGAAGTACACGTCTTACAAGTATAATTCATGTACTGGATTCCTCTGCTGCCACCCCGTCAATGATATTCGTGTGTATATTTTGTAGGTATATTATCTGACTGTGGTGTGTAATATATTTTTATGTATTATAGGCTTCTCAGTTTCAGTAGATTGCTAAGTTTTTCCAGTGAATTGACAAACACAGTCTCGTTTGAAATTATCTTTTCAGATATAATATAGTTAACAGTAAAAATGAATAATCCTAGAATAACAAATAATTTGAACTAGTTTTGATATTTAAATAAAGTAACGCTGTTTGCCATCTCTTTTCTTTTTCCTACCATAAAAATGTTTGTTAGTATTACCTTGTTCATGTTATCTCTTTTCATATAGCTCTTCAAATTTGCATATGCCTACAAATGTCGACGAATTCACGGTGGTTTTCCAAGTTTCCTCGTGGATCGATTGGTTTTCCGTAAAGTTAGATCGCTCATGGGTGGGCGAATTCGTTATATTGTTTGTGGTGGTGCACCGTTATCAGAAGATTCACAATTATTCACAAATATATGCATTGCACCTATTATACAAGGGTAAGGATTCTATTCCGACTATACAGGGAGATAAATTTATCGACTAAAAATGTACTCCGTGAAGGTTTTTCCAACATATCTCATGGCAAACAGACTAAATATGATGTCACATGTCAATATCACTATTTCATCAGGTTCTCACTAAGCAGGGAAGTCAAAGGTCATTGGTTTGAGCACTTCACATACAGCATATATCCAGATCTCACTCCATTTGTTTTTCTTGAATAATAAAATTAGTTTCTTCACACTTACACGATAACATATGGCTTAACCTACACTTACTAAGTTGCTTTCTTCATTATTTTGTAGTGAATGAGAACACAAGCGGGGACAACCAGATGTATTTTAATACAACACTACAGACTATCGTGGTCAGATCTGAGAGCCATACAGTAATACTTCATTTACAAAATATCCATCAATTGTCTCAGATTTTGTTGTTCCTTTGTTTCCGTACCAATCACCCTCTTCTCGTTCTCTTCTGTTTTCTCTACCTCCTGCCTCCAGGCATTCCACCTTCTGTCATTATCAGTAGCATACACCACAATTTAACTAACTACTAGTCACTAATTAACATGGTTTTCAATCAAGGTTTTATTTAAGACAGCAACTATCGATCCAAAGTACTCTAAACATTAGAACTATTTATCTTTTTTCTACAATAACAATTGATCAATGATTGTGGAAGGGTTAATTTAATTCTTCTCAGTTCCTGTCGGTTTAATCATGATGTCATGTGTACTGTATTTTATTAAACAACACATTCAATTTAGTTCAACAAATATATTTAACTACAGACCTCAGTGTTCTGATAGGGTTTTGCTGTGCGTAGAAATCGCTATTTATCAATTTCATCGAATGATGTGTATATTCGAATACGCATTACTTGGAACAGTTGAACTTTCCTCAGATGTCAATTCATAATCAAAGGTTTCTGAGTATATTAGTTCCATGTATTTTTTTAAAAATTGCATCTAATAAAAGATTAACAATAGTTTCTAATTAACTACGACGATATTTTACTTACTTAAACCTGTTTCCCCTTGTGGAGCATAAGCTGCCGACCAGGATCTCTAAATAACTGTTTCAGGCTTTCCTTCCCAATTGTTGTCAACTTTTGTTTATAATTTTGCTATCTGCTCTAATTCTCTATCCCATATGTTCTTTGGTCTGTGATGCGGTTTAATGGATTCTTCAGACTGTGTCCTACCTATCTCCAACGTCGTTTCCTAATTTCCTCTTCAGCTGTAAGCTGGTTTAATCTCTACCACAGTAGGCTTTTGCTGATGGTGTCCGGCCTACGGGTCTTGAGTATAGTACACAGACAATATGCAGCAATTTGGAAGACTCTACCGGTCTCCCACATTTTACTTAATTGTTAAAAGCATTAAAGTAACTTGATGAACGATGTCTCGAAATATAAAATTTCAACTGCTTTACTGGCAAATTTCTTTTACAGTTATGGGCTTACTGAGTCATGTTCTACTGGCACTTTGATGGAATGTGGGGATCTGCGATGTAATCATTCTGGAGCACCTGCTTCTACTCTACAAATTCGTCTAAGAGCATGGCCTGAAGGTGGGTATTCTCCCTATGATACACCGTCTCCACGTGGGGAGATTCTTTTATCTGGTAAACCGGTTTCTCGAGGCTATTACAAACAGCCTGAATTGACAGCTAGAGATTTCATAACCGATCAAGACGGCACACGTTGGTTTTGTACTGGTACGTTTTGCTTAGTTAACTGTTCCTATCATGTTGATAAGTAAAGTTTGTTTTGCTATGTTTTGACTTGAGATTATTTCAAATACGCAAGATAATTCTTGACAGTTATCATCAATCGCTTGATGATAATGATGTTAGCATGTATGTGATAAATGGGACTTCTACGATTTGAACCTTCCTTCCAAGTGCACGCTCTACGAGCAGATTTAATTCCTCTGTCAACCTACCATTTTACATTGTTGTGATTTTCAAAAGTCAATATTATGTTCTGTTTTCCCTGTGTACGCGAAAGGGACGCTAATTTGCCTTAGACGAATATCTATACTACATACCCTCTCAGTGTATATTCTATAGGACTCCAGCACAACTCAGATCAAGAACACGTGACTAGAATGTAAGTATATTTCCACATCAAAAACCGACAACAATCACAATAATAATAAGGGTAAGAGAATATATAATTCACCCAGTATCTGTCAGACTATCTACTAGTCTGACTAAACAAGCAACCAATCATCTTCCTCGCCCACATGTCACATGGACAATTTTATGAATTATTTCAAAACTTATATGAGGATATCCTGATATGGAATTAACTTCGGTTTCATCGCTCATTTATATCTTCATATTCAATACATTCTGTAAATTATAGTGTTAATTAGTTTTTATACACAAATGTTTTTGTATGTTACATTTTATTCTTATTAATCTATTTTTCAGGGGATATTGGTCTGATGCATACCGATGGAAGTTTATCAATTATTGACCGTAAAAAAGATCTTGTTAAACTACAAGCTGGGGAATATGTTTCCCTTAGCAAAGTTGAAATGGCTCTTAGTCAATCAGTCTATGTTGAACAAATTTGTGTTTATGTGGACCCGATGCAAAATTATCCAATCTGTTTCGTGTCGCCGAAATTAAAATCGCTTACTGACTTAGCAGAATCTTTGAACTTAGTTCACTTACTTCATGAAGCTCGTTCAAAGCTTCCTATAGAATCAATGAAAGATCCCATTGCTATCGAACATGTAGAACGGGCTGTTCTCTGTAAACATCCTCAAGTGAGTCTTATTCATTTAGAAAAATATGGTTGTAATAAACAACTGAATTCGGCCATAATATGTCATCTTATGATATAATGTTTCTATATTTACTTCGTGTTAAGGCCATTGTCTGTTTACCTTATGATCTTTTAATTCAAGGTCAGTTCATTTCGCCCTATTACTATATTTAGGCTGGTTATGAAAGTCACACCATATGGCGTGATATGAATGTCCTTTTTAAGGTCTCTCACATCTCTGCTAATCTTATTGGCCAATAAGCGTGTGTCAGGTATAAGTAAAGACACACCTGCAATTGATTCACTTTTATATAACATTCTGTAATTGATGGATTAATGTCATGATAAAATTGTTTACTAACTGTTTGTCTAAAGTTGTATAACCAAGTACCTTTCGTATCTAATCTATTTCTCTATTAATTTTATAGTCTTGTGTATTGTATTACTGGATAAAATAAACTTTCATTTCCTTGCCTGACTATTACTAAATCCCCCAATCACCATCGTAAAACGGGGTGAATTTCAATTCATTTGTATTGGTTGCTTGAATCTTCTCGCTGATGTTATGGGCTGCATGCAGTTGATCCATTCAGTTACAAGCCAGTGTCTATCTGAACTCAGCAGCTAAATGAATGAAACGGTGGGTGTTTGAGGTAAAAGTCACTCGGTTCGGGTCCCGGTGCGAGTATCAGCACGGATGTACGTACATCCTCCTGATGAGCTCTAAATGTGACAAAACGCTTGACCTGGATTCCACGGTTAACCACCATCTGTTTCTGCTTAGGATACTTGTGACTTACTGGGAATACCAAAGGGATCCTCAAAAGTTGCACATATCCCTAAAAGAGACTGATCAATCTCATGCGGTCTATAACATCATCAGGAAGATTCAAAAAACTAATAGAAATGAAGAAATAATTATCTGTTTTTGTGATGTATGGCACCAATTAATATTTAGTTAGGTTAATATTAAAATACCTCATTGATATTATTGTCTAATTAGCTGATGTAAAAGTAAAGTGACTACACGTAATCTGATGTATATTATAATCTAGCTATCGTAACTAAAAGTTGTCTGTGTGATCATCATTTCAAACGAAATTTTAGCTTTGTTTAACTGTCGTTTCAACGTTCTTTTTTATTTTTAAATTTGACCATCTATTTTAATCATACAAACTTGTGATACAACCATAGTTAAAATAAGCACTACACACTATTTGTCAAGCGGGTGGTGATTACGATCGACAACTTTGAAGCGTTCCATTTTCAGTGAGGATGAGTTCAGTCACCTTTGTCTTATTCTTTTGTCTCAATGTTGTTATAAGTGTTCTATTTTCAGATGGTGATTAATTTAATATACTATATGCCCAGTGTAGTGCCTATCGTTAATAAATTTACCATTCCTATTTTTGTGATTTGAGATGTCTATTATCCTCAGCTAATGGGCTTGTTTGTGATTTAAAATCATTCGGAGGCTTAATTCATTGGTCTGGTCTAGTAAGCAGGCATCACTCGATCACAATTTGTATCACTATTTATCATCTATTGATCAGCATACTTCACGTTCGTTTTAACAATCGAACATTTCGTTCACCATTGTCTCATTATTCTAAATTATTTTATTGGAAATAAATTTTGCAGGTAAAATTATAAAATCATATAACTTTAGAATAATGTCACACTAACATGTGATTTTTATCAACCTTTACCCAGTTCTGATTTGTATTAGTTAATTGTAAAATGTCTTAGTGGTATATATTTACTTATAAATCACTTGTTCAACTCATCCTTTTATATTTAAATTTCAATTAAAGTGCTTCTCTGTTTTTTTCTCTCTTCATTATTCTAGATTATACAAGCTGTATTAAAAGATTTACAACGAGTTGCTAGAGAAAAACGTTTAAGTACATTTGAAATACCACAAAAAGTTGCTTTAGATACTATAGCTTGGACACCAGACACTGGTCTTGTAACGGATGCATTAAAATTAAAACGTTTCAACTTACAAACTCGTTTTCAACATGAAATTGAAGAACTTTATCAGAAGGATACACGAGCGTAATTATTAAATTAATAATAAATATCCTTCATCAAATGAAATATTGAAATGTATGCAGTACATTCCGTCTTCATCATTAGTATTTAATATATATGTGGATGGGTATAATATCAACAGCTTATTTGTATTAAACCTTTGAAATAGACTCAAACAGTTATCAATTAAATCATATATATATATATATATATATATATATATATATATATATATATATATATATATATATATATATATATATATATATATATATATAATCGATTCATTTATCTTTAGTTTTACCAGTCAGTTGTATACAAGTCATTGAACATATTCATTATGGTCGTCAAAAAACGTTGTATGCATATGATTCTCAAGTTATATACATACATAATAAATGGTACTTGAATGGTTTACGTTTTTCTTCTCTGTCTTCATATCAACCACATTCGTTTGTGACTTCCTTAAATTTCTCTGTGGTATACTTCTCTCGCTCATTCTGATTTGTCAGCTTTCGTAGAGTTGTATCTGTCATCAGTTCGTATGTCTTCTTCCTGTTTATCTTGATAACAGTAGTAATATTAATACCAATGATAATTATCGTACCATTGACGATCAAACTAGTGTATTTAAAATGGTTATCTCCAAAGGTACACGTCTTTTTCATTCTGTTTTGTTCGATCTTTATTTTCACTCGTTAATATGATTAATACTATACATGTTTCATATATATTATTTACTTGCTTTTATTCTGTTTCTTGTCTAAATATTTACCGTCTCACCTATTGATTTTTTCTTTGTAGTTTAATGTATTTCTATTTGTCTTGAAGACATTTGTGTATGTTTTATAATCTTAGTTCGATGTTCAATTATTTTATTGTTTTTTTTTGGCATTAAATGTAACAAATGGTGTAACTCATTCATCTCATAAGTTTATTATTAACACTTCGTTATCAATTTAATTTATTGGATTATTTGATGTAGTTTATGTCTATCTGCATCTATATTTACGAACATCTAAGAAAGATTATGGAAAAAAATTAGTATCTTCAGTACATTCACCTTATTTCCACGCATACACATTTACTCTTTCATTCATTTTTCACCAATCTTTGGAAAATAAACATCGTTGCTTTATTTACAGGCAACATTAGTTGATAACGAGTCTTTGTGTCTGTATTGATTTCACTTACTATTTACTTCATCCTTTTGTAAATTTTCATAATTGTTTCCTATAAAGTAAAAATTATTCGCGGAATGTTTTTCTTAGCATTCCCCTCCTTAATTACCAAGAGATTTGCATTACTAAGTCTAGCCAACTGTTACCTGTCCCATACTATTTGGTTGAGAGAAATTAATTCAGTCGGTAACAACGTAGAACTTCGTACCTACGTACGTACATCAGTTCGGTTGCCACACCACATTAGCACAGAGATACAGTGGTCGATTCAAATCCCGTAGCGCTAGATGTAGTAAAATTATAAGCTATAATCAGAAAAATTAGGGTTTGAAGATGTTATTCAAGGAGTATAATCCAGTGAAATAAATTTGGAAGAAAAAATAAGGGGCATGAAGAATTCAGAAGATTAGAATCTGGGAGAACACAAAGAGTGGATGCACCTGCACCATTGCAAACGATTTTGAGCCATGTCATTCAATGTTTCTAACTATCGGTTGCTATCGTTTCGCGGGTCCCAACCAAGTAGTCTACACCTACCAACATGGCTCAGTCCACTTGTCAATGACTTCGTGGATTTGTGCCGTGTTTTGGTCTGGCCGCCCCTAGCTCTCTTCCGACCTACTCCTACACCACAAAACATCGCACATCGAGGTAGTCGGTGGTTGGGCGTACGTAACACGTGTCCCAGCCATCTCGACTGATGGAGTTCGATTACGTCATCAATTGATTTGCCATCCCTACCTAGTGCCTGTTTTCTAACAACTGCATTACTTACTCGATGGTCCAAGGATATACGAGCAATCCTTCGAAGACACCTATGATCGAATACTAGTAACCTACGGATATCCTCTACTCTTACCGGCCATGTTTTACAGCCATAAAGTAGGACGGAAGGAACTTCTGCGCAGTAAACACTTCCTTTGTTTGATAGACGGATATCTCGCCTTCTCTAATTTTATTTCATATTCCCAAAGTGTTTTCCTTATTTTATTTCTCCACCTTCAAGACACTCATAGACTTGGAGTATACGAACAACGGTTCTGTTTTCTGATTTTTGATAAATTTCCAGGGTGCTTCAGGACAGGTCTTCACCCTCAATTATTCACTGAGGAGTCAGGGAATTGACTGTTTCATTTATTATCGGAGTCTTGCACTCACTAGGTCGGTGTCTGACAAAATATGCTTTCTTCTATCAATCACTTTATCTTTGCCACAGGCGAGATGTACGTCTGTCTACTAAGAAACGAATTTCCTCTGTTATACTGATTTTTAAAAATAGAAAGCGTGTGCAAACCGTAAACATTTGCAACAATGATTACTATGAAATAGGCGAAGAGTGTAAACGTGTGTACGTCGAAAATTTCTTATGGTATTTATTATTTATTTATTTGAACACATAAATACTCGTACAAGGGGGAACCAGATACATATGCGCCACACAAATCTCATTTCATTTGTGTGAGGGCTGTAATACTGCCCGGGTGCCCAAACCAAAGCAGGTGGTTTTCTTAGGGGGCCATACCCTGAGCCTTCGACCTAAAGGTCACATCCACAAGGCAGTGGAGCATCGTAAGGAGATCCCGCCCCGTGGTGGCCAGTGACCAACAATTGGTTCATACGCCATTTGTTCCGTCAGGATACTGGAGCCCATGGGCACCATTGGTTTGGAATCAGGGTATTCCAACTTCCCTAGGTGGACTCTCCGTGTCCACCAACCCGGTTAATGCGCCGGAATTCTCTTTTCGTCCTCTCAATTTCGTAAACAACACCCACGCCGCGAGAAGGCAGTGAGTAGGACTTGCCTGGCAGAGGCTATATATGTGTGGCAATGTGAGAGCATTTCGAGAGGGAGAGCTGACTCCCCACAGTCGGCCGTACCACGGCATTTGGGGGCTTATGGTAGTTCGTCTCAAAAGATAAAAGTTATGTTGGGAAGGGTTTTCACGCATTTCTACTTCACAGTGCTTTGTCTGATCTGATCTTGTATTCTGTCGTAGGTTATATTTCGGTATTCCTATGCAATTCGCCATTGGACCTTGGAAGTGTAACAAATAGTGTACTAGCTTGAAGTTTAGTGTAAGATTGAAATTATTGTGCCTTTTCTAGAAAGAGGCCAAGCCTAAAGTAATTCTAACTACAATCCACTCCCGAATTTTTTCCCGCAAGTATCGCTTTATTCCTTTGATTTTAAGTTCGTCACATGCGTAACTTCTGTGTATGAGCAAGCATTATTTAACGAATGAGATGATACAGACTACGTGCCTTCGAATCAACGGAAGTATCTTCAGAGTATGTTGCGTCATTAGAGTATCTTTAGTCAAGGTCTAAGATTGATTGTTCATATTTAAGGGAACTGGTAAGAGAGCGAATTTGATTTGTGCGTAGTATTCGGTGGCTGGAGGTAGTCGACAGGAAACCCTGGACCCGGGTTTCGTGCTACCATCTAATCTCAACATAGTGCACGGAGTGTCGACTCACCTAGACTGGTGACCACATTGCAACATGATCGATAGTATTCGATCTGCACTAATAAGGAATTGACACACACGACATTGATCACCACCCAGTGATCAATCAATTGTGATTACATCTCAGTCCTACAGGAGGTCGGTCGCTGCCCAGACAGCTCAGTGGTAACGTCTCTGACTGAAGGTGGGTGACACGGGATCGAATCCGTCAAGGAGCACCAGTTCCCTCAAGATTACAGGTACACCTTGTTGACAAGTGCCAAGTAGCAGTAAACCCTGGTCCAGTGTTTCCTGTCGACTACCTCCAACCACCGTCTAACTTTCTTTATTTACTTCTGACTACTGCTCACGTGATGCGCTACAGTAACTGGCGTAGATGTTAGCTGAGTAAGGGTTTGTGACTAAATAATGGCTTTGTGCCTGCGTGTATCATTTTTTGGGTTAGTTTTGTCTAAAGGAGGTGACCTGTATGATAGTATTAATCAATGGTTTGGGGATTTGAGTTATGTATATGTAAATCGGTTACAATATTGGACGTAGTATTATTCCACACTTCCACCCCTAGTTTCTCTTCACTGTTGCATTTTACTTCTATGCTCTTACTGTTCTAATTTTAAGCGTAGTCACTTAGGCTTAGATTTGCACCAAGCCCAGTGTTTATTATATATGCCTGTTTGTGAAATTGTTCATTCTCTTCTCTAGCCCAATTTGACTTGAAATTCGTGATCCAACCGTCCGGAACCACACTACACTTTTACTATCAGTTAATAAAAATAGAAGTGTTAAATCAAGTTTGATTTGATATTGATTCCATTTAACAATGGTTTTTATTTTAAACATCTGTACTGAGAATAAAACAAACAAGCGAATATGTAATCATTTGTACTAAGCTGGGTTACATACTTTCCACCTATCAATAAAACTTGAAAATACCTTAGATCTTTTAGATTTTTCTTTAGACATAAGACATTCTATATAAGTTCCTATTTCTTGGAGCCTAAACACTTTTAAGGATTTCATCTAATAGTTAATCTTGGATCCAAGCTTTCAGGTAATCTTTCGACCTGTGGTTCTTTTATTTTTTTTTACAAACTAAATATAAGTTATAAACATTGATTTTAATCAACTATTACATATTTTAATCTACTGAAAGGTAATCTGTTCATATATGTTAGTCTTATTTTTATTATATCATAAGTTTGTTTTTAATATTGTCAAAATAAAAAGTACCAAAATTAGCTCCAAAAAATTAAAAAAAAAACATTTTAATTTGAATTACTTCTTATTTTACTCTGTGTACTTTGGCTTTATAGTTTTACTATTCAGTAATCAACTAATCTTGATCATCTGATACTATAACATTCTATACTGTATTCACAAAAATTGACTAGTTAATTGATAGAAGCAAAATATCATTCATAAATTTAGTTTAGTACTTTTCTTATATGGTACATATAACTTTTAATGAAACTATAATTAATATAGTGGAAACAATGTCGAAATTTTAATTCTGTTTGCTGCTTTTATGAAAAATTAAAAAAAATTATTATATTGCTTAGTTACTAGTAATTTTTATTTTATTTTAAGAAGAAACCTAACTTAAGTGGATGTGTGATATGACCATAAAAAAAAATGAAATCAATAAACATAAATTATTTTCCAGAACTATTTGACGTTATGAATAACTTCAGTGTTCGATATCCAGCATTTTTAAGCTTTTTGTCGGTTGGTTTTTTTTTTAAAGTGCTGCACATAAGAGTGTAATTTTCACTGGAGATTTCAAGTTATCTATCTTTGCTATGAGCATATCAGTGTAGCTTATCCCAGAATGAAAAACAAAAATAATAGGGAGTTAGGACTTGAACTGAAATTGCCAGTGGAGAATCGACATTCATCTATCAAATTAATGGAAAGATGTTGAATACCTCTCACTTGCTGAATACTCCCTTTCCAGAACTCAACTGCTATTTTTATTAGTATATAGTAATTCATGTGAACAGTTAACGTCTAATTTAATGATGTACATGTCCGACATCAAACATCAGTTCCTTCAAGGTCACAAGCATACCTTGCTGACAGGCGCTAAATAGGTCGAAACCTAGGTCCACAATATCCTGTCGACTACCTTCAATCACCACCTTACATTTCAACATGGTACACGCCACGTCGACTCACTTAGACTAGTATCCACATTTCAACTTTCTCAATAGAACCCAATTAATTATAAACACCCCAGTTCTATAAACGTTGTCAGTCGCGGTCCGAATAGCTCAGTGACAAGGACTCAGATTGTGAAGCTAAGTGACACTGAGTCAGATCTGTAAGGCAGCACCAGTTTACTCAAGACTACATGTACGTTGTAATGACAAGTGTCAACTAGCACAGAATCTAGGTCAACCAGAGTCATCTGATAACCACCTTCAACAGGAAAGATATTTTTTTCAAATAAAGGTACAAGTTAATTGTGAATTTTTTGTTAGAATGCAACAAAAAGTTTAAGTGTCTTCATTTATCGGCTTATGTAGAAAGATGTCATTGAAAAAATATGCAATTTGACATTTTTCTCTATCATGTCAATTCCATGTGAAAAATACTAAACAGGTATG